ATCTTAGGATGGAGAGTGGGACATGCCAGACCTCCATAACAACAAAACCCCACTCCGATAAATATGTATTGAGTAAGGAAAGGAGGAACCACAGCACTGCAGGGATTCAGACACATCTATTAGTGTCCCAGACTTAGAGAACTCACCAGAATCCTAACATGCAGACCATGCTGCTAAATAAAAGAGAATCCATCCTGAAAATAGAAAGCTACACTTCCTACTCAGCCAGCCATATGGAGAAATTAGGTACTTGTCTGAGAGGTGACGGATACTAGCCTGTAATCCAGTTAAGGATGTGAATGAGGTAGATCGCATCCTCGTATGGTGGACTGCTTAACAACACAGTCACAAACCCCATTCCCAGAGACTCTTTATTTAACCAGGATTGGTGGCCGATGCTCCTCCCTCTCCTTCCATTTTTAATTATGCTACATGGATTAGCCTTTCAAGGGGGTGGTTTACTTCTGCACTGTCCATGTTATCCAATTTTAATTGTTTTCAATTCTTTCTCTTCTTTTTAACTTGGAGCATCTAAACCTCTCAGCAAGAGGGCATTTTCCCATGAAATAATTATTAGTAGTAGCAATTACATATAGGCTCTCGATACAATTCCATATGGAATATGTTTTCATTTAAATTATATTTTATTAAATAGCTGGACCTCCCCAAATGTGGTCTGAGAACGCTACAAAAGGATATCTTGAATGCAAATGGATTGCTTGGGCGAATAAGATAGATCAGAGTTGCTTCCGCTGAGAAATGTGATTAATCCTGAAACGAAGCACTCAAATAGCATCTAGCAGTTCTGAAAGCAAAGCCTGAAAGGCAATGAAGGGACAGGATGCTGGATGGGGTAGAAAAGCCAGGTCGTGGGGTGGAATAGGTAGACTTTGGGTTTGGAGGCTGGATGGACCACTCATGCCAGAAGCCCGCCTCTGTGTTCACCAGCTGTGTGACTCTGGGTGAGTCCCTTCACCCTTCTGATCCCTCCAGTGGCTCTTCTGTAAAATGGAGAAAACCAGGCTTTTATGTCCTCCTGAATGCGATATAAAGTGCCTTGCCCAGGACACAGGACACAACAGGGACACAATAAATGGTGGTCGTTAGCTGCCCGATGATGGGTGGGAGAATAATATTCCACTGGCTTGGAGACAGACGTGAATGTTCTGGAACACAGCAATTCTAGGATACGCGGTGAAGGCAGGAAGAGAAAGGCCAGGCAGGAGAGAACAAGTTGGAGAAGGAGGCATGAACTCCGTCTCGAGAGCGGGAGCTGAGAATGCCCACAGAGCCTTGGCACGTGTGAGCCCACGCTGAGCCAAAGGCCCAAAGACTTCTGAGTGAGCTTTTGCTGCAACAAAAAACTTTGAATCATTTTGAGAATCTCCCGTGAGGTGCCAATATGTCGCAGTGCCTTGCCGGCCCTGTTACTGATATGACTTATCCCAGAAAAAGTATGAACACGCTCAAGTTGGCTAGCAGCTGGAAAAACTATAGAGTCGATCAAATTGACCTTGAGAAACACAAGAAGGTGGTATTTAACGATGTGCCAGATAAAATCCCTGTGCAGAGATGAGGTAAGGAAGGGCCTGAAGGGAACCACACCAGCACTATCGAGGATGGGTACTAGATGTGAGCTTCCAAAATCATAATCTAGGGGGAATAAGGAACACGGTACCACAAGATTCACAGAGAACAGGCAAAGAGATGAGAGATGAGAAAAGGTTGAGTTTCTTCAGTCTACAACCTATAAAATCTGATTTTAATGTGCAAAAGGCCATGTGGGTATGAGTTTTGTTTTCATTCCCATTTCCTTTGCTCATGTCCCTGACAGTGAATATTTTTGGATAATTCTCTCTCTAGGATTGCTTGTCGACCCCAAGTTACTACACATTAGAATGAAACTATACAATGATAAGTTCTGTCATCTGAAACTGACTCCAGGGACCCAGTTATGCCTTAAAATGAAAGAAAAAAACCTAAATGGTGGGGCTTTGAGATCATGCCATTCAACCTTCTTCATTAGAGATGAAGAAACTGAGGCACTGAAGAGATTAAGAAACTTACCAAAGTCCCACAGTTGATTAGGGCCGATCCAGGAATTTAATGCCTCCAAGCATCAAGCAATAGTTTTAATGGGATAAATTCGGATGACTCTGTTCTCACATGTAAGGAAAAAGGAAGACAATGTTTGTTTGTTTGTCTGTTTGTGTGAGCAAGATTAGCCCTGAGCCAATATTGGTTGCCAGTCTTCCTCTTCTTGCTTGAGGAAGATTGTTGCTGAGCTACCATCTGTGCCAATCTTCCTCTTTTATGTGGGATGCCACCTCAGTGTGGCTTGACAAGTGATGCTAGGTCCGTGCCTGGGATCCAAACCTGTGAACTCCAGGCTGCCAAAGCGGAGCATGTGAACTTTAACCACTATGCCACTGGGCCGGCCTCAGGAAGACAATTTTTAAAATGCATAAGTAATTGTGTTTTAGCATTATCTTCCAAGGCTGGTTTAAACATTAATATCATTGTACAATATGGTTATTATGGTATCACGAGGGCTACTGGAATTTGATTTTTCTAGTTTAAATATAACATCAAATGGGCAAATTTTACAGGTTTGGCGTCTCTGCTGCTAGACCACAGGATCTCTTCCACATTGACACTGAGGGATAGAAGCTGGCACAACACTACTAGATGGCAACTGGGACACTGCTACCGAAATTTTAAATACATATGGCTTTTGGATCAATGAGTCCACTGCTAAGACTCTGCCCTGTGGGTGCACTCACAAAAGCATATATCAAGAACGCTCACTGCAGCACAGCTGAGATCCCATTGTGGATGGAAATGCAAGAGAGACTGGACTTCAAAAGAACAGTACTTGGAATAGCAAAACAATGAAAACAACCTAAATGTCCACCAAAAAGGGAGACTAGTTAAATAAATTATGGCATAAGCACAGGATGGAATATTATATAGCAGTTAAAAACAATGAGTTAGATCTATATGCACTGAGAAGAAAAGACCTCCTATAGGATTACGTGAAAAAAATCAAAGTACGTAACAGCATGTGAGTGTGTTTTCTAGGATGTACAACCTTTTTCTGGAAGAATACACAAGAAATGGTTTAAATATTTACCTTCCAAGAGAAGGATTGGGAAGGACTTTCACTTTTTATTTTACACCCTCCCATTCTGTATGAAGATTCAAACCACATGCATATATCACCATTGGATCTCCTTACACGTCTCTAAAGACGACTACCATACCACCTAATAGGGGTTATTACTTTTAGAGTTAGAGTTACAACTCTACTTTAGAGTTAGAAAGATGCTAAAATAATCAGAAAAAATTGAGCCTTGCTTTGTTTTTTTAATTTAACCCAAAATAATGAATGCAGTGAGTCAGGAAAAGTGTTCATTTGAAACATACTAACTTTGAAATATTTCATTTGAAATATACCTAAAAAAGCAGAAACAAATCTTCCTTTTCTTGACTTTCAGTCCAGCACACCAGACATTCTCTTAAATAAACCGTGGTCTATTTCTTCAGATGGCAAGAAATCTTTCACGGTACTCAGAAAAAGAAGACACGCTCTTGGCAAGGTTTATCCCACCCCCTTCACGCTCTGCTCCCAGCCATGTGACTGCCTCCTCCTCCTCCCAGGGCCAAGTACAGGCCATTCCCTCCGCCTCATCTGACCCTCCTCCACCCTCCCCCTGGTCTTGCTGGAGATCTCAGCTCAGTGACTCCTTTCTTGGGGATTCCAAATGTCCTCACCTCCCTGGCATTATTCACCATTTTGGAGTACCACATACTCCACAGTACCACTTACCACCGTTTCAAGTTTACATTGATGGTTATGTTTCTTGGGCTAAATCTGACTTCCACTCTGGGCTGAAAGCTCTACCAAGACAGCGGTAATGTCTGTTTTTCCTTAACAGGAGACCCCCTAGTACCGAGGACAGTGATGCACTTCCTAAATAAGTGAATGAATGAATGCAATCTGTACTCCATGCCGAAGCCCAGTGATCACGTTAAAAAATCGATCAACCTGTGTCACTCTCTGGTTTAATCTCTCTAACATCTTCCTCACCATCGACTCTGAGACCCTATGTAACAGCCTGGGAGCACCTCTGTGACCTCCTCCCCTTCCTTTTGCCTCCAGCCACACTAGCCCCCCTGCTGATCCTTGACTCCTCCAGGCACCCTCCTACCTCTGTGCCTTTGCAAATGCTGTTCCCACTGCTTAGAAAGTACTTCCCCTGACATTCGCACAGCTTACTTCTTTACTTCATTCAGGTCTCAGATCAAATGTCATAACTTGAGAAGGGTCTCTCCTGACCACACAATCAGAATAGCCCACACTGTCACTCTGCATCCTTCACTCTGCTTTACCGCCCTTCGTTATATTTATAACAACATTACGTTATAACTGACATTACGTTAAATATTCAATGTAATTACCCCTTCGTGGTCTGTTTCTCCTACTCAGCAGGCAAGCCCAGGAGGGCAGGGATTTGCTTTGTTTGATGCTATATTGTCAGCCCCAAGAGCACAGTAAGCCCTCAGTAAATGTTTATGCAGAGAAATATCAACACCAACATCTACATGGAGAGAGAAAAGCAAAAAGGAGAAACCAGAGACAGGGTCAAAGCCTGCTCCTTTCTAATCCTAAAAACCATAAGGCAAAGCAACATCTTAGTTGCATTGATGGGCGTTAACCACATTTTATTTTTCTTAATAAGTGAACTAAATGAGTAAACATTCTCAGACCTCCGACTAATAAAGCAGATGACACTGACAATGAACTATAAACAAATGTGTGGATAATAACAGTCTTACTTGTCCTTTCATTCATAAAGTAAACAAACTGAAAATGACTTGAAAAATAAAGAAAACATTATTCCAAGAGCAATAAACTTTACACTGAACTAAAACCGCCTTGTGTTTATCCCAGCGCATGTATCTGACGATTAAAAAAAAATAGTCAAGCGCTTGCTTACCCATTCTCCTAAAATGCGTGACACAGCTTCATTGGCTCTTGTCATATTCCTGCAGGCCAGGATCACGTGTGCACCATGGAGGGCAAAAGACTTGGCAGTTTCAAACCCTATGGTTTAAAGGAAAGCCGACATTAGAAAACACAAATGCAAAACACTGAGTCATGCTGAATGGCCCTACTGAGCACCACACACATTACCCTAGTGGTTCTCAACTGGAGGCGATTTTGCCCCCTAGAAGATAGTTGCAAATGTCTACAGACATTTTCAGGGGCCAGAACTGGGGTGGGTGCTATTGGCATCTCATGGGTAAAGGCCAGGAATGCTACAAAATATCCTACAAAGCACAGGACAGCCCCACAACCAAGAATCATCTAGCCCAAAATGTCAACAGTGTTGAGGCTGAGAAAACCTGCCCTAGGAACACAGTGTTTTCAAAGGTGAAGGCCAACCCATAGAAGAGCTCATGGCATAGTCAGCCATCTAACCACTGCTTAATAACGACCACATCCTGTGCTAAATATAAAGAATATGGATGTACAAAGACTGACACATGGTCACTGCCCTCAAAGAGTTTACAGTCTAATAAGAGAAAACAGACGTGGAAAATAGAACAAACAGCATTCATTAAGTTCTTGACAATGTGCTCTGCACTGTGCTAAATGCCTCCAGTACCTCTGCTTCCAGCAATGGCAACCTAGGTTTCTTAGATCCACCCTGCTACTGGGAACAATTAGAAAAGCTGAACTAAACAGCACGCACAGACACACACACATGCACGCACACATATCTCTCTGAAGGCATCAGAGGGACACTATGACTGAGAATATTTTGGGCCAAGGTCTGGAAGAGTTAAAAGGCCAAGAGATTAATAAATTGGAAATAACTGAGTATGCTAAATGTTGAACACAACAGCAGACTGTACACTCAAGTACTTAAAGAATATTTACCAAAACTGACCTTGTGCAGGGCCAAAAGCAAATCTCAACACATTTCAGAAGATTAAAATTGAAAAGTATGCTCTTTAACCACAATGGAACAAAACTAGAAATCAACATAAGATCCTAGAAGATTCCCCTAGCTGGAAATTAACCAATACATTTTTAAATAAATAAAAATTGTGATTCAAAAAATTAGAATGAAAATTAGAATATATTTTAAACTGAAGGATTACAAAAATTCTACACATCAAAACTTATCGAACATAGCTAAAGCCATGGACAAAGGACAGTCTGTAGCCTTAAATGCATATATTAGAACAGAAGATGAGCTAAGCATCCATTAAGTTAGAAAATTTTAAAAGCAGCTAATTAAACCTAAAGAAAGCAGGAGGGACATAATAAAAATAAAAAGATAAACTAACAAAGATGAAAACAGAAAATACAGAGGAACAAAGAAGCCAAAAGTCATTTCCTTAAAAAAACTAATAAAATTTATAAAAGGCTAGCAAGACTAACAGAGAAAGCACATGCACAAGCAAGCATACTAATGACCAATATCAGGAACAAATAAAAGGACATCACTACAGATCCTACAAACCTTAGAAAGATCTTAAAAAGATATGACAAATAACTTTACACCCGTAAACTTAAGATACAGGTGAAAAAGACAAATTCCCAGAAAGACACTACTTAAAAACTGCTGCAAGAAGAGATTTAAAAAATTGAAAATTTCCATATATTTAAAGAAACTTAATCCATATTTCAAAATCTCCTCAAAATGAAAACTCTGGATCCCTATGTCTTCAACAGTAAAGTCTACCAACACTGAAGAAAATAAAAACACCAATCTTACACAAACTCTTCTACATAATAGAAAAAGAAGAAAAATTTCTCAACTATTTTATAAGGCTCAAACTCACTAGTCATTAGGGAAATACAAATTAAAGATACAATCATATACTGCTATGTATCTACTACTAGAATGGCTAAAAAAAATAAAATGACCACACCAAATGTGGGCAAGGATACGGAGCAGCTAGAACTCTTATACATTACTAATCTGAAAAGAGATGAGAAAAGTGGGCAATCCAATTTCAGAGCTTGAGCACCACATCACTGCTCTAAACTGTAAAATACCGTTATCTTGTAAGCTTTGGGGAAGACCATATAGAGTATACCACAACAACAAAGTAATAATTCTACAAAAGAAAGCAGCAATGTAATTCAGCCAAATCCATGTCAAACGACCAAAGATTACTGTTTCCAAGATAATGTTAACATGTATGAAAAATCAGAAGAGTATCATTATCTTACTGGGACTGCCATGTGAAAGAGCCTATCAAAGTTCATTCATTCATATGGCTTCCATATATCTAAACTTCATGGAAGCCAGTCTATTTACATAAACCAGTTCTCAAGGGAAGCCAGCACAGCATAGTGGAAAACTCAAACTCAGGAGTTTGACACACTTGTGTTGATCCTAGCTCTAGCTATTTATAAGCTATGGCACCTAAAACTATGCCTTTAACCCAATAGAAACTCAGTTATCTTTTCTTAATATGAGGGTAAGTCAAAAACATACACTAAGAGCCTAATATAACCATAGAAGGTGGGAAACAAATGTTAGGTCCCTCCTCTTTCCAAAATTCTTGGTATAAAGTCCTATGCCTCCTATCTGATTTGTATGACCTACAAATAGCTCAGTCATTATTACTAAAAACTTAACTCTCTCCTAGATCTGCTCCCAACAGCAACCCAAGAACTGACTGGCAATTACATCAAGCAGAATTTAAAGAAATTAGCTACAAGATCTCCATTCCATTTGTCTGAATACTGGCCCCAAAACATACTCGAACTTCATTGTTGAGATAGCTTATTTTTTCAGATTATGCCAAGTTCTGTATCACAAGATATTCACTTACCATTATCTAAGAATAACCTTCTATACTTGAATCTGATGTTAAAATAATGCAAAAGGATTTCAAATCTGAAATATTTAATATCTAAAGCTATTTGCCTCCTCTTTGGTGTCTGTAGTAAAAGGTGCCTAAAGGCATATCTTCAAGCTATGAGCAGGAAGACAAAAACCTGAAATTTACTCATTTTTATCCACGATGCCAATTGCACCCTTTATCACCAGTGAGGAAAAGGTACCCAGATCACTTGGGAAAAGAGAGAGAAGTGAAACACCAGCTTTTGTAGCCCAGCTGTTGCAAACTGGATAGGAGAAGGATGGGACGAAGTCTTGCTGACTGATGAGCTACATCAATCAGGCTAATGAAACGCTGACGGCCATATGGAGGGAACGTGAAGTGGCCAAAGTGACTTCACTTGCAATCCTAGGACTTCACATACCCAGGAGATCTTGTTGAAAATGGCGGACTCTGTGTCTCTCTGAAATTTCCAGGTCAGGGCGATTATCAGAAGTCTTTTTCATCACATTTTCCTCAGAGGTTATAAAATGGAAAAATGATGTAGGGCAGTGGAGGAAGATGGTAGCCACAGTGCTCAGTCATCTGTCAATGACCATATTTTAATGGATGGAAAGAGTATCACTACAATGCAGGCCCAGGCAGGCCCCAGGGCTTTAGTTATCTAATTTAGCAGGTTAACTATAAACTCCTTAGTATCTGTGCCTTTTTCATCTCTGTATCCCATGGGACTAACACCCAGTAGGATTCAATAAATATCTGCCAAAGAAATGAATGGTTCTTACAGATAGCCAATAAGCTACAATTCTGGACTATTTTTAAACAATCCCAGTTGTCTCAAACAATACTGATGGCCCTCTAACTTCCTTTTTAACAATGAATAAACATCACAATCCTGCAAAGACATCCCCTGCCGTTTTGAATGACACTACTTAGAAATCTGTGGAGGGAAAGCATGCCCTTTTTCTTTCCAAACAAACCTGTGAAGTCATGCTATTTTACTTGACAAAATAACCTACGGCAAAGGATTTTTATTACCTAAAAGAGCACATCTGACATGATGGCAGCAACAGGCTGCGGGCACAAGTTTGCACCATCTCTCCTTCAGTTAATGCCTGACTGTAGTTATGGTTAAGTCATCCGTCCCTGTGTCGTGTAAAATTACACTCAGAGCCTTCCATCTTCCTTTATCTAAGCGACACGTTACATATTGCTAGTCTACTTTTAAAAGCTGTGACAGACAACTCCATTTTCCTATCCTTTGCAATGGCCTTTGGAGCAAAAACAAAGCATGGATATTTCAAAAGATGATGGTTTAACAGGAAGGACAATAACACTTTTATAGTAAACCATATCTCTAGAGTGTGGAGTTTTATAAAAAAAAAAAAAAAAGTTTAATAATGCTACCTACTGCTGAAGTCCTGGAAAAGCCCATGAGAATAGCATCCCTCACTCCCGTAATACCACAGCTGATGACCAGTTTAATTAGCTAAATGTAGTAGTGCTAAGCCAATTCTGCACGGTGCCAGAGTTTGTGCAAAATAATGAAGGCAATGGTTTACTAAATTTAATAACCTGATTCATCTTATAAAAAATTAACTTTATGACAATGTTTAAATTGAACCAGCTTAACTGCATGGAGGTGGCAAGGGTACATTCAAAAGAATATTTAAAGCTAATAATATAAAGAAAATAAAGGAAGACATTTTAAAACAATGGGTGGCATCCATTTTCTAGCACTTGTTACATCTGATCCAATTGGGAAAATTAAGTGGCCGTGGAGGTTTAATATCTCGCTGTCTTGAGTTTCAAGCTTTGCATACAGACATTAAAGTCGCTTAAAAGGGAAAACACCAAAAAAAATACTCAATACCCACTTGTATTACACTGGTTTTCATCCTCTAGAATAGAGGTTACAAACTGGTCATCACAGGATAAATAAAATCATGGACCTGTTTTGTGTTGTGTGGCTCTCACTCGGTCTCCCTTCCTCCCTTTCTTCCTTCCTTCCCTCCTCCTTCCTTTCTTTCCTCCCTTTTTCTCTCCCCCTCTCACTCTCCGTTCCTTCCTTCTTTTCTCCTTTCCTTCCTAATATGAATTACTTGCCAGTATTAAATAATGGAGGAAATCACATATCCAAAGGTAGATGTCCAACTTCTCTGAAAAAGCTTATGATGGGAGCATACTGGGCCCCCTGTCCTATCTGGAGACTATCAGGTGGGCCAAGGAGCTGCTGCA